GGTGCCACAATATCCTTGTTGATTCTTTGCTTGGGAGATCTGTCCATTTTTGACAATGGGGTGTTAAGATCCTCTACAATGACGGTGTTGCTGTCCATATCTTTCTTGAAGTCTTCCAAGATTTTCCTTATATGTTTGGGTGCTCCCATGTTGGGTGCATATATGTTTACAAGGATTATATCTTCCTGATGGAGTATTCCCTTTAGTATTATGAAGTATCTTCTTTGTCTCCTTTTGCAGCCTTTGTTTTGAACAGCTTTTTTTCATGTTCATTTATTTGGAATATATATTTTTTCCATCTATTCACTTTCAGTCTGTATAGATTTTTTGTTCTGATGTGGGTCTCTTGTAGAGAGCATAAATATGGATCATGTTTTCTTATCAATTCAGCTACTCTATGTCTTTGGATTGGAGCATTTAATACATTTACATTTTTCCTTTGTGCCTGTGTTCCTCTCTCTCCCTTCCTTTTTCTTCATCTTTTGAAGCAGTCCCTTTAGCATTTCTTGCAATGCTGGTTTGGTGGAGATGTATTCTTTTAATTTTTTTTTGTCTGAGAAACTTTTTATTTTGCCTTCCATTTTAATGGAGAACCTTGCTGGGTAGAATAGGCTTGGTTGCAGGCCTTTGTTTTTCATTACTTGGAATATTTCTTGCCATTCCCTTCTGGCTTACAGTGTTTCTGTTGAGAAAGCAACTGATATCCTTATCAGAGCTCCCTTGTATGTTACTAGCTATTTCTCCCTTGCTGCCTTTAAGATTCTCTCTTTGTCCTTAAGTTTTGCCATTTTAATTATTATGTGTCTTGAAATGGGTCTCATTGAGTTCATCTTGATTAGTACCTCCTGTGTTATCTGAACTTGTGTGACTTTTTTTTTTCTCCTCAAATTAGGGATGTTTTCTGTCATAACTTTTTCAAACAGGTTTTCTATTACTTGCTCCTCTTCTTCTCCTGGTATCCCTATGATTATGGATATTATTATATTTCATGTTTTCCTGCAGCTCCCTTAAACCCTCTTCATTCTTTTTGAGTATTTTTTTCATTTTATTGCTTTGTCTGGGATTTTTTTTTTCCTACCTTGTCCTCTAACTTGCTGATTTGATCTTCTGTTTCTTCTACCCAGTTTTTAATTCCTTCTACTGTACTCTTTATTTCAGATATTGTATTCTTCATTTTCTCCTGGATCTTATTGATAGTTTCTGTCTCTTTTTTCAAGCTGGTATATTTTGCAATAAGTTCTTTGTAGCTCCCCTGGAGTTTTTTGCAGTTTTCACTGAGCTCCTTGAGTATTCTTATAACCACTATTTTGAACTAAAAGTCTGATTGTTTGCCTCTGTTTCATTTAGCACTCTCTCTGGAAATTCCTTCTTTCCTTTCAACTGGGGGTTGTTTCCTTGTTTTTCCACTTTAAGAGGCTCTTCTTGTTTGCTTCTGTGTACTGGAATGTTCTGCTTTGACTCCCTGTCTTCATGGTGTGCTCTTCTGTGGTAGGAGATCTGTGGGACTCAGTGGTGCAATCTCCTTGCTGTCCTGAACTTGATGCTCTTAGGATGGCCTTTATGCATTAATGTGAGTTCTCTGGTTGTAATTGGGTTTTGGTTGTTGTTGGGTTGTCCTTCGATGTGCCCTTCCCTCCAGCTGGCTTACTGAGAGTCACAGAGCCCATCATGTCTTGTAGAGAAACTCTTTTTACAAAATGCTGTGTGAAGGACCTAAATTCAAATTTATATTGCTCCTTATAGGATAGCCCAACCCAGAATTGTGTGGGAGCTCTGTGATAGCTATGACCAAAAGTTAATAATGTCTATAGAAAGGAAAACACACACCCTGTAATGAAAGTAGAAGCTTTATTTAAACGTCCGTTTAAAAGGTGGGAAGGAAATACCAGGAAGCAAAGAGGGATGAAGAGGTAGGAGTCAGTCCTACAAGGCATAAAAGAACAGGGAAGCCTCCCCCACACCCACAAGGAGACTCCATGACCTTTGTAATCTTCTTCATGTTGGCTCTGGCCCTTTTCCTTTTTCTGCAGAGACAAGCTTCCACTTCTGTTCTGGTCTCTGGGAGAAAAACAGATGGGTGGATGTTGAGGTGAACCTCCTTGGTGTCCTCTCCAGGAGACCATCTGAGGGGGCTGCCTTTGGGTTCTGCAGAGAATGGAACCCATAGAAAGTATATCTGCACATAGAAAGAAATTTATGATGAGGAACTGACTCAAGTGATTGCAGAGTTGAGAGGTGGAAAGTCTCAAGATCTGCAGGGAGAGTCAGCCAGCTGGATAGCCAGGAGAGCTAAAGTTGTGGGTCCAGTATGAAGGCAGGAAAAAACTGATGTCTCTGCTCAGCCACCAGGAAGGCAGAGTCCCTTCTCACTCCAGGCAGAGATGGTTGGTCTTTTTGTTTTATTCAGGCTTTCAACAGATTGGATGGGGTCCACCCACATCATCAGGGAGAACAATCTGCTTGATTTCATCTATCAATTCCAATGTTAATCTCATCTCAAAGTACTGTCACAGAGATACTCTGAACACAGATTTACTAATACCTGGGTATGTATAGCCTAGTCAAGGTGATACATTAAATCCACTATCCAGTGGGCAAAGCGAGGTGTAAGAGAGATCATGCAAGGACTTGTTGCTTATGGAAAGGTCCTCCACTCCTGCACATACAAAGCCCTACCAGAGAGTTCTTTGTAAAGTTCTGAAAGGGAGAAGGGAGGACCTGCTCTTGCTGTTTGAGACAAGTCCCCATGTAGAGAGAGAATGGGTGAAAAGTCTGGAAATCCATAGATGTAGACATTGGCCATTTTGTGGCTTAGGGCCTTAATCTAAGGAATCAAATGATAATTTTATTTAAGAATTAAAATTTTAAATATCTCTCCTGATGGAGAGATATGTGTTCCCTTCTCTCAGACAATGAGGAATCATAGTATATTTCCTTTTTTGCCAGTGTTGCCAGGAAATGTAGAATTGAATTATTGTAGCTAAATTACAACATATATTTTAATAATAATTTTCTCTTTCTGTATTTTAAAATAATTTTTAATCTTCACTTAAACAACTTACTATGCATTTCTCACTCTTTTTTTATAGATATCATCACATTTTTGAAGAACACATGGGGATATGGATTATAAAAACTCATATTTTTAAGTATATCTGCATGAAACTTGTGTTGCTGTTTGTGTGTTTATCTGTGTCTTCATGAGACAACTTGGAAAAACATGAGTCAGAGCTAGAGTTTCCTCTGAGTTTAAGTTCTTCCTACTTGAGCTGCAGTTTCTTCCTGTGTGAGGTCATAGGCATGAAGTTATCGGAACTTAGAGGAACTCTAATAAAGGAGCCAAACATCAAGCACTCTTCCCACCATCATCTTTGTTCTTTATTAGACATAAATGTATTTTGCATGTTTTTTATATGTTCTGGTCAAATTTTCCAAGCTTTGCATTTGCCTCCTTCTGAGCAACCCAGTAACATTGTCTCTGTTTTTGCAGAACAAAGGCACTGATGAGGGCCACAAGGTTCAGAATATTCTCAGCATTGTGCCTGGACAGCAGGAGTGCTGGAGCCAGGGCCCACAAGAGGAGACTTCATTGCCCACGGAGGCCTGGGTCCTCAAGCTGCTCTGCATCATCCCTCAGCCCCATGAGCTTAGGCAAGTCCCCTGACATCTGTGTGTTCTTATCTGTAAGTGAAGGGTTTGGGGTAAATCCTCCTCTGTGCTATGTACACCTTTAGCATAATTTAAAATTCAATGACGTTTGAGCAAAGAAGAAAGAACTGAAAATCAGGAAACTTAATGGCAAAAGAATTTATGTAGATATTCTGATTTAAGAAATCTACTTAATGTTGGTGGCAAAAGCTATAAAACCAAAATGAGCATCACTTTTGGCAGGTGTACCCATCTGCCGGGCTCACCCATCTGCGGAGAAAACTGCAGCGCCTGGAGACACCAGGGTGCCCAGGGATCAGAACATTCCCTCCTCCACACTCAGCTTTGGCCTGTCATCGGAACAGCACGTCTTTGCTTAAAATTCTGACAGCTCTCAAAATGCAAATATCCCTGGGGTAAGATTGTGGCATCTTAGCAAAAATGAGCAATCTATTAAGTGTAATAAAGACCAGCATGAAGGTGAGAGTGGGGGTGGAACACATGGGCATAAGGGCCCTATCTCCTGACAAAGGAGAGTGATGAGAGTGGGACTGGGGAGTAGAGAGGAGCAAATCCCACCTTTTCCTCCCACTGCAGTGTATTACAAGGAAGAAACGTTGCCTACCGTTAGAGCTTCCTAGTTCTTCCTAGTCTCACAGGTGCAAAGCAGCAGTTTTTAAAATAATTATGTTTTTTCCCCTCAACAAATGTGTGACCCTTGCATGCTTAAATATTTTGTCAATTCATTTGGCAACAAATGGTTGCATATTAAGCCAATTTGTTCCTCTTCTTGAAAATAAATTCTGGATTCAGACCATTAGAGCTGCTCTTGAGAGAATATGATAATTGAGGTTTCTCCTAGAGAAAATATTCTCCTACTGAACATTGAGACATGAATTGTAGAAAACAGTGCTTTATTTTCATACCAGATGCCTTGTATTCATATTCGTGTTTTTCTGTGCAAGAGTTTTTTACTTTAAAAAGTGATAAAACAAGGGCTCCAGCATTCATATCATTCCTTCCTTGGTATGAAGAAGCAGACATATGAAGAACAAGCTGAAAACAAGAGAATCATATGATTATTCCAAGTTACAGAGATTTAAAGATGAAACTGCCATATTCTGCCATGGAGTTTTCTGAGAATGGGAATTATTTTCTGTTTTAAGACATATTTGTGTTTTTTGAAAACCTTATTTTTTTAAACAAGTTTTATCTTTTTTTTTCACTTTTCCAACAAATATTTATTATTAGTTAATCCATGACTCAGGATCACAGTGTAGGATATACCCAGGTCTCTCTTCACCTCCCTGGGAGAAGGATGGAGGACAGAGGACAGATGAGGTGCAGTGAGTTCAGATCTTCCCAGGAAATGTGCCTTCTGCCCAGTGGTCATCCTAGGCCAACACTCAGGATATGGGGCAAAAGGACTTGAACATATGCCAGGACAATTCACACATGGATACATCACCACCCTTAGCAGTCATTGGCTTGTCACAGCAGTGGAAGTTCAGGTAGTTTTGCCAACAGTTCCTGGTCTGGTTCTGGATGGGGAAGTGGCTAGCAAATGGGGCAGTCAGGTAGCTCTTGATTTTGGTCTTGATGTCTTCTGCCACCTTTCTGACTTCTAAAGACATGCCTAAAGATGCTTGCAGTTCAATGTGACCCTTAGCAAACACCTAAACAGGTTTTATCTTGACTTGAAATTTCCAAGGACAGTTTAGCCACAGGGATGCATACAGGTCTAAGTAGATGATTTTACCTAAGAATTAAGCAGGAGACAATTTTGCCCAGTTTGTGTCCCCTGTGTGTGCTTGTGTATGTTTGCGTGTGTGTTTAGTATCACAGTTATGTCTAACAGCCTGCACCAAGATCAAATGTAGAGACCTACTACTTGCTCTTTGAGAAACATCCAAGGTTAGTACTTGTATGGGAGAAACATCCAAAGAAGCACCTACTCCACATTTTCTTCAGGAAAGTCCGCAATGTGATGGGAAGAAAATGGCGTGCTTGGGCACCCATCAAAGTAGGTTGCCATTGCAGAGCAGTGACTTATTTGCTATAGGAAGTCATGAAATTATGTCATTTCTCCTTACTTATTGTCCTAACATATAGCATGATGGTCCCTAACAGAGACTATGGAAAGGTTAATGATTCCATGTTACAGGAGAAGTTTAGGATCAATTGGCACAACCTGAATCCCATTGGGCAGTCAGTTTCCTGGAGGACTTTGAAGAGATGGGAGAAAAGACAGTACCTTTTTAAAAATGTATTTATTGAATTTATTGGGGTGACATTGGTTAATAAAATTATATAGGCTTTAGGTGTTCAGGTGGACAACTCCATAACACATTATCTTTACATTGCATAGTATGTTCACTACCCCAGGTCAAGTCTCCTTTTAGCACCATTTATCTGCTCTTTACCCTTATCTACCTTTGAGACAGTACATTTTTTTAGCTGCTAGCTTGACATCTGGATCTGCCTGCTCCAACTAGGAAGAGAAAGAAGGAAAGAGATATCTGGAGCCAAGAAGAGAAATGATACTGAAGACCACTTCTCACTCTTGTGGACAGGTGAGATGCCAAACAGAGCCTTTTGTTCAGAGTTGTAGTGTCACGTGATATTTTGGTTCAGAGCTACATTGTAAAAAGAGGACACTGGATTGTTAAAGCTTTGAAATAATGTAAACATTGGTTCAAATATTGACCAAATGTCTTAACCTCAATCTCTTCTTTTTAAAATGAGGATGGTGTCATATTTCTTCAAGGGTTTTTAATAGGAATTAACTAAAACTACGAATGTATGTAAAAACATCCAGTACCTTATACATTATTAATAAATTATCATGATACTAGAGATAAGGAACTGGTTACCTAGGGTGTAACAAACATCCCTACACTCAGGGACATTAAACATAAACGTCTATTATTTTTCAGATGCCTGTGGCCCTACTGGCCTGACTCATGCCTCTGTGATCAACTATGAGTTGTCTAGGGGTTGGCCAGTCCAAGTGGTTTTATTTGGAGTGCTGGAATGGAGGGCTTCTCCCCAGGTGCCTCTTGTCTCCAGCAAGTTAGTCTGGGCTTGCTCTTATATCAGTGCTCTTCAGCTCCAAGCAAGAGATAAAGTGCTCATAGCTGTCTGAAACTCAGAACTACCACAGCAATACATCACCCATTTTGTATTGGCCAAATCAAGTCAGTTTGATTAAAAGGGAAAGGAAATAGATACCACCTTCTAATGTGAGGGCAACCAAGTCATATGGCAAAGGTGATGAGCACTGAATGGGTGAGAATGGAGCCATTTTTAAATCAGTGCACCCCAGTCATTGATCATAATGCTCAACTCTCCTGAAATTTCACTTGCTGATAAATAAATGCCTTTGTCTAGTGTTTATGAAAGAATGTTTCTAGAATTTTGAATGTGCAGCTTGTTGTCAGCCTAAAACTTGGGATGTCTCTCACTTTTGAATGGATGCATGTATACAATAATAGCATCAACTGATGTTTTACAATGGCTTCCAAGCAGAAGTTGATGATATTAAAAAACATGTCAGACAAAACATGGAGATCTTCCCATAAAAATCACTTTATCACAAACTGCACATACATACAAATGTACTGATTTACTTTTTAAATACTATATTATTACTTTTCTGTTTTTCCGAATAGCTATTTAGAGAGGAAGAGTATTTACCATGATTTTAGTCTGAGTGGCAGTTTCTTCAAGGGTATATATGATATCTTTTTATTAAATTTTCTGCATTTTCCAGTTCTGTAAAGGATCAAATAATTATTGGAAAAAAACCCACAATCAATCCTGATACAAAGTAAAAGATGAGTGTTCAGGACCAATGGTCCTGCCTTTGCAGTGGTATGGATGTAATTTAACAAGCTCCATGGGAAGAAACTGTGTGGATGATGCAGATGCTGCTGGAATCACGGTGGAGTGTCTGGCGGAGGCTCTGCTCTGGGTATTTAGTGCTTCTCTCAATAGCTCTCCGTCAGCTTGGAGCCTGGCACTGAACTATTCTCACCACACATTTAAAATTGTGCTTTGTTTTTCAGGCCCTTAAAATGTGGAGACAATATTTTGACGAGGTTTTGGAGATCGGATTCTGAAACTTCAGAACCTGCAGACAATAGAGCGTACACAGAGGTCTCAAATATCTTTAGAAATAATTTACCTCTCTTGTCAGTGCTGACTGACAGCTCTAATCAATTCCTCCATTTTAAGCAGACTTACATTTCACATGCACTTGCTTTCCTCTCCTGAGCAGAGTGGAACATCTATTGTCAAATGCATAAAATAACATTAGAAATGCAAACTTGATGTAGCCAATGGTAATGTGTTATTTAAAACTTATGAACCCAAATGAGGGCTTATTTTGTCCAAATTGAAATTTATAGTTTCATTTTAGAGGGCTAACCTGAATATTGATGGGACTTAGGCATGCTATTATAAAATGGCAATGGAAAACAAAGCAGGTAAGCACCAGGCACCGAGGAGCTATTATGGAAATTCATGGGCCTTATATGAAAAATCAGATCCTGTTACCTGTACTGATGGCTACAAACTTAGAGCAGATTTTGTGCAGGAGATATACAGTCCAGGGTTTGTTAGTATTTCATTTGCTTTTACACCATATGACTCAAATGCCAAACAAACAGACACAAAGGAAATTATTGGTCACTGTCCTTCACATCTTCTAGATCATTAAACAAATGATAAAAACCAGAATTGTAATTTTTGAAATTTGATCCCCCCCTTCTATTAGTTCAACATGTGACTGATAACTTTGTTTGTCATCTTGGCAAAATTGTTATAGTTTTACACTTTACCGCACTTGAAATTCACATTAATTCGCCTATGGAACTTTAAAGTTCAGAGATGAAAATCAAGGTGAATGAGCTGTCTTCAAGGGGCATGTACTCTAGGACGGGATGTGTCTTTATGCATACTTTAAAGTGTCATAGTGTAACACATGACAATTTTTAAAATAAAACAATATAAATAAAATAAAAATATAAAACAAATAAAATATATAATGAATAAAAATTAAAAACAAAAAACAAGTAAAATCAATGAAACAGTAAATTACATGACTGTAATCTGAAAAAGATAGGAAACAAAATATAATTAAATTAAATTTGGTACAATAATAATTTAGGAATACCTGAGTATTTAAAAAATCCTGACTCTTCTTCTCTGAAGAAGCAGCCTCCCCACCGCCCTCCCAGCCATCTGTTCACCCGCAGTGTGTGGAAAGAAATCCCCATCGCTGTTTGGATGAGACACAATTTGTGATCTCTCTTCTGCTTCCGAGCTTGTCCTGAAAAGTGTGGTACCTCCTGGGTCAGTGTTTCTTTTGTGTGGTTTCTCATGCTTCTGAGATTGACCTGGATTTTAGCCTGCTCTTGGCTTTGACCAAAGGGATGCCAGACAATGCATCTCATTCTGGGATTAGTGACTCCCTGCCCCTTCCCTCCCTCTGTCATGGTGGAAGGTGCTGTGCAGGCCCAGTGAGCTGCAATATGATTCCATGCTGGGAAGAGTAGCAGGATTTGATGGAAGACAGGAACGAAGAGAGGAAAGAAACTGATGGCAAGCTGGCTATAGCTCTGGGAATGCATTCTCTCCAAGTGACAGCAGCAGATTATTAGAACCAGAAAGAAAAAAACTAACTCCAACCTCAGGTTCCTTGTATAGAGCAGCACAAGGTCAGAAATACAGCCTGGCAACATCAATGTAGTTTCTGCTGTTGGCCATGATGGGTATAGCTGTTTTCAGGTCCCGACTCTGAGACATGGGTAGCTTCCTGAATCCTTCCCAAGAGAAATTATTCTCATCAGGATGAAGTGACATGATACAAGTGCAACCAGGTAGTCATGATTATCTTCCTATCCTGTCATGTGGAGTCCATGTGCCTGCCTGACAGACTATCAGAGCCCAATTTTCTCTCTGGTGTTATGTCTGAGTTATAGAAAACATGCAAATGCAGTCATCAATGGTCTTTGCTTAAGACTATAGCCAAATTGCCACAAAGACATAAGAGAACTGACACGCGCTTATTAAAAATCAAGATGCTTGTCTCTGCTGCAGGGGAGACACCACGGGGGCCTTGGTGATGTGTTGACCAGCTGGACTAGTTCTCCATTCACGCGCTTCTTCCTGGGGTGTTGGGTGGCTAGACCAGTCCTTCGCCCCACTGGCTTCTTTCTTCTCCCGTCAATTCATGTTCTTTGCTTTTCTCTGCTGAACCAAGACCCCACTGCTGCATGATGTAATAGCATGTGATTATCTCAGTACAGATTGCATTTATGGGAGGGGGTCAGAGTCGTTCAGGAGCCACTAAGTCTCCCAGACAGCCAGTGTCAGCCCTGAGATCTGTGTTTGGCCTGACTGACCCCCTTTCACAACTTGAGGAACACAAGATGTTAGATAACCACCGCAGTGAATTTTGCTTCCTTCTGTCTCTGTTTTATGCATAATGGTACACACAGGAAGATTTATTTCAAGGTCTTCCTTTCTTTTCTACCACTTTATGATATATTTTTTAGGCCAATTAATGTTTCCATATGTGAAGATAACCTTGGAAACTTACAAATGTGATGCAAGTTAGAACCCTCTGCAC